GGGAAACCTGTCCAGCCTAACACCTTCAGGGCCACGAGTGGCCCCAACCGAGCTCCAGCCTGTCTCCCCAGCCCCCACAGCAACGTCCAGTTACCCAGGCCTTCTCCAGCAGCCCTCCCAGGGCCACCCCAGATAGGGGCCACTTACCCGGCTGTACACGTGCCTCTTGCTCTGGGCCATGTTGCTCACCCGGCCTCACCCCCTCCCCCAGCGGGCCAAAGACAGAGAGAAAAGGCAGAAACCTAGGCAGGAGGAGGGTCAGAGCTCCAGGCCCTCTTGGGCACATACAGAAGCCGTCAGGCACGGCCCTCCCCAGTCCATGGACCTCACTTGGTGGCCTACCGGGGTAGGGATGGGGGCAAAGATGGGGGCTGAAGCAAGTCCCCTCTGCTGCCGGATGATTCCTATACCCAGAGACACGGACTCCTGCTTGCCAGCTGATGAGTCTCACTCTGCGCTAGTGCTGCTCCAGACTTGTCAGGAGCCGTGCTGGCCTCTGGGTCCTAGTGCCCCCTGCTTCACCAGGGCCAGAGAGAAGGTGAGACTCAGGCCCTAGGCCCACACCACCCTCAGCACTGCCCTCTAGAGTAAAGGGTTCTAAGGGCTGGGAGCACAGCGCTGAGGGGTCCTCTGAGGATGCAACCCTCACTATCACTGCCGCCCACCTCCTCCCAACACCCCTGAATGTGCCTCAGCAGGCCTGCCAGCATCAGTAACACTTCAAGACCATCAGCTACCTCCAGCCTCCACACAGGCAAAACAAAGGTCTCTCACCCACGCGCCTCTGGTGTTCTTCTCTCTCCCTCCCCTTTCTAAATCTGGGACTCAGGGTCCAAACCCAGGAGATTAGGGTCTGGATTCCAGTCTCACATAGGGCCAGAAGAGCCAGGCCTGCCCACTGCACTGTAAAGCAAGGGCAGTAATGGAGGCAACGCTACATACACAGCCAATCAAGCTCCCCAGCTCCCCTTACGCTGGCAAAGGCTGCCACAGTCACTCTTCCTCCTTTCTGGTTGTGGTAAAGGGCCAGGCCCTGAACCCCAAGAATAGTAGGCTCAACTTGATTAATAAAGGTGGTGTGGTCAGAAGCAGGGAACCCCACTTGCCCCTTGCAGCACAAGGCCCAATCTACCTCAGCCACCTCTGGATGAAACTCTTGGCCTTGTCTCCTAGGCATCTCTTTAACAGAGAAAACGAGATGGTTTATTTTCTTTTTTTCACAAAACTTCTTTAATAACCATGTATTACTTTTACAATTAAAAATGTTTAATTTAGTAAGATTATGCATTGTAGTGAAAGGTTCCCAAAGGGTTATGTAATGATACCATATCATTCATTTACCTAACACGGGCTAGGAACCAACAGACCAGGGTCCCTGCCCCTAAGTAGCCAACAAGGTTGGCCTGGGTCTGACCTATGGCTCCACTGGGTGCTATGTGGACCTACCTAGATCCCCTGGGCCTTGGGAGACCTGTCTTGTCTGCACTGACTTCACTGGCCAGTCTTCTTCCACTCCATGTTTCTTCTGAGGTAGGCCAGATAGCCCAGCAGGAGATTGATAACCAACAGCCAGATATATGGCCCCCAAACACCTCTCCACATCTTCAATCCGGCTCAGACCCCCAAAGAAACCATTTCTCTCATTCCCTGCAAAATCTCCCTGTTGCCCACTCCCTTCCCTATTCACCATTATACAGGTGGGCAGGGCCAGGCAGCTTCTTGCAACCTGGACTTAGCATGTTCAGAACACTTCAGTCAACAGAACACCTTAAAAAACATAATTTCATAGTACCCTGGTTAAGCATACTTGTTCTAGACTCAGGCTGCTTACGTTCAATTCCTGGCTTCACCACTTGGGAGCAACATAAATTTGGTCCAGTTACTTAACATCTCTGTGCCTTCAATTTCCTCACCTGTCAATTGGGAACAATTAAAGAACATATCTCAGAGAGCTGTTGTAAGGATTAGCCAAGATAATCCACGTAAAACATCTAAGACATTGCCTAGTATTTAATAAATACTCAACAAAAGTAAGGTAACAACACATGGCTATCATCATATTTGGATATCACAATAACCCCATAGACAGGCAGGACAGACAGGCAGGACAGGACTGTAGCTTAGAGAACTGAGGAACTTCCCTGAAGGCATACAGAAGGTAAAGGGTAGAGCCAAAACTGGAATGAAAGACTGAATCAGAACCCTCTGAACTTTCTACCATCCCTCACTGTTATCAAGTATATCTCTAGGATTCCAAGGCCATTCTCTTTCTCTAGACCACGCTGCCTTCAAAGATGCAAAATAACTCATATCTATGAACAGCTTCACAACTCACCAGCCACACAGGTATATATAGTTATCTAATTTCTTGGAGGCTGTTTCTTCCCCCCGCAAAAATGGGAATATCATCTGCCACATCTCCATTAATGTTATGAGGCTTGAATAAGATAAAGCACATAGAAATGCTTTGAAAAGTATAGAAGCTACTGAAGCGCAAAGAATAACTTGATATTTCAGATGGCATATAAATCTTAAAATACCTAGACAATAAATATTATAAGGAATACAGACAGGAGAAAGGTGAAATAAAAAGAAAAGGGGTACCTGACTATGCCTTGAGTTATGGGTTATTTCTTGGATATGTGGAGAGGAAAGGCTTATAAACACTGTAAGTTGTGAAGATGGTATGATTAGGGACAAATAATTTTGCTTAACTAAGGAATATTAGAGAAAGCTAACTTGGCTGAAGTGAAAAATTATAGATGAGTTCTTCTATCAAAATCTAAGTCTTTTATAACAGAGCCTACAACTTTTCCTCTTTATGAGTCCACCACTCTTAGCTCACATAGTCAAATAGTTCCTGAGTAAATAAACACATTAATATTGAGATGATTAGAGGGTAAGTATGGATAGTAAGGGAGTTTAACATTCAGGTAGAGATAGATGGACTTGATCCAGTAACAAACCAGTCCTTTTCTGAATGGGAGACTGGCATAATGAAAACTCTCTTAGGAACATGAGCTGGTGGCAAGGCAGGGTGGAGTAGAGGCAGGAGCAACTGGCAAAGGCAGGGTAACAGCAAGGAGGCTGCTATAATAAGCAACGGGTGAGGGCGGTCTGAACTAGGCTCAAGAGAGAGAGGAGAGAGAAGAGGAAAGGAGCCAGTTCAGAGACCATACAAAAAAGGCCCTGAGAAGGGCCTGCAGACAGAGCAGACATGGGGAAAGAGGCAAAGGCATGCTGGGGCTCCAGAGACAGAGACCTAGCTACAGCTTTGGTTCTCCCATTTCCTCACCTGTGCAACTCTGGCCAAGACATTTAACTTTCAGAGCCCCAGTCACCTCATATGAAAAAAGGGGAAAAATGCCTACCTCACAGGGATGTTGTGAGGATTAAATAAGATTGAAGCATTCAGCACAGTGCTTGGCACAGAATATGTACTCAACAAACTGTAAATATTTTCATCATGAATGAGAGGGTCCCTCAATGATGACTTGCACATAGTAGGAACACAAATGTTGCACAAATAAATTGATGGATGGATGAGTGCGTGAATAAGTAAATGAATGGATAGGCTCAGTAATTTTAAGCATGGAAGACTGATAACTGAAAACAGCAGAACTGGGAGGAAATAGGAAGGAAAACCAAATGTGTGGGAGAGAAAAGGTATGACTTGTTCTTAGGGCCTTCTCAGAGACAAATTTAACTTTGTACACTAACATACATACTTCACTACCTCCCTCCAGAATGAATCTGTGATGCAGACAAAAGATTTCACTACCTCCCTTGCACAGGTGGTAGAACTGAGTCTCAGAAGTCAAGTGACTCACCTGAGTCTCAGGGTAGAAAATGGCAGGGAAGCACACTGGATTAGTGGTACAGGCAGGTACCTGCCACAGCGCCCCTGGGCCCCAACCCATGTTACATAAGACAATTTTGAGTTACATGTTCCCTCAGGCAAGAAGGAAATAGGTACTCCCTGGATCTCTAAACCATTTTCCTTCCTAATGACATGAAACACTGTTAACATGTCTAAGACAATGAGAAGATAGGGAAAGGAATGGGAAGGAGGGAAAAATCTCTGGTAAGTAGGTCTCCAATGATATTGGAGAACATTTCAGAAAATGACAGGAGAACAAATAGATTGTTGGTAATTAAGGAGGAAAAGCCTCTTTGACACCCAGCTTGTACAGTTTTACCTTGCTTTTACTGGCACCCAGCATGCTTTGAGCTCCTGACCCCCTCTTGTCTCACCCCATCTTCCCTTGATCCTGGGCTGACCCAACTATCTGCCTTCCCTGACCCCACCTGAAGAGGAACCAGATAACACTCAGGCAGTAAGACAGCAGAGCCCAAACAACTGAGCCAACTGCACTGGGCACTGAGTATAAAGTGTTTGGTTACAAAGAGACAAAGAGAAACACAATGGTAATTAGCAAGACTCAGATTTTCTTAAAACTAGGGTACAGCTGTGCACCTCCGAAAGACTAACAGGGTGGGAGGGCTTGGCCTGTTCCCTGAGTGAGGAATAAGCGCTGGGGGCTTGGAAGCTCGGAAGGCTGGATTCCAGCTTTGCACAGGAACCCAGAAAGAAGACAAAGACAGAGCCTTTTGTTCATAAGTTCTACTCTGGTATTTGCCTCATAGATCTCATACAGATAGGGCCTGGGCCCTAAATGGACTTTCCTTACCTCTCCAGCTCTTTAACCCATACTGTGAAATATCTGCAGTCCACTTCCAGTCTGAATACAGTTCACTGCGCTTCCAAAGTATCCCCTTCCCCCAGAAACGCCCAGTGACTGCCAGGCCCACCTGCAAAGGGCCCAGACCTCCAGGAGCCAGAAAGGAAAGCTACACAACATGCCTCACTTTTCCTCAATAAAAGGACTTTTTCAGGAAGGCAACAGGCACTTAAGTGCAGCCCTGTACACACAACTGCAATCTTTCCAAGGCTAGCAGGAGTCCTATTTAACAGCCTGTTCAAAGTTCCTGCTGGTTCCTCCCTGTGCATCAACTAGCAACACCCTGGCACTAGGACCCCGCAGAGAGAGAACCCTGAGCCTGCGCTCTAAAGAGAGAGATGCACCATTTCACAACTTCAGCAAAAGCCAAAGCAGCCAACAAAGCCACAGCTAACTCAGCTACTGCTGGGCTTTGCCTTCTGGGCAGCTCGCCGGCCACTCCCCAGAAGCAGCGCATTCTGTCCTTTCTCTTTATAAATCCACGTCATTGTCTGATCATAATGGAAATCGATCTCCAGTCACCACCAAAGGCGTATCCATGGCAACCTCAAGAGGAAGGACACAGAAATGATGCTCCAGTGGCTGCTACAGGAAACGGTAAGTTCATTTCTCTTCCATCCGTGCCATCCCACCATTCTCCCCTTTCACTTAAGTCAGGAGTGCTCCTTACCTTCAAATGCAATATATCACATCAAAGAGGAAAACACAAAAGGTGAATGTTAATTACCTACAATATTATATAAGGTTATAGGTCTGCCTAGTCTCACTAACTGGCAAGAAAAAATTCTCATTTTCTGGCTGATAGGGACAATTCTCTTTTTCTTATTCACCATCTCAGGTGGCGTAGTCTCAGTCTGCCATTTCTGACTGTCTTCCTATTAGTCACTTGTCTTCCTAGTCAGGATGCTAGTCTCACTCAAGGATTTCAGAGTTCTCTACGTGGCTGCAGAAAGCCAGCAGCAACACTGACCCCACCACCCTGCCCACCCACGCCAATCATGCCCACAGACTGGCCTGTAAGACTCCTTCCTTTGTAACCCTAGACTCCAGCCCCTCAAGGTCCAGAAAATGGAAATTAAGTCTAAATCTCTGCCTTCTCTGATGCTTCAGGGGAATGCCATTTTTGTAGAGGTAAGAGATTCATCAAGCGTAAGTACTACTAAGCCTAAGTAATCTTCCATGTCTCAATTTCCTCTTCTCTAAAATAGGGATAATAACAATACCTTTCTAATAAGGTTGTTGTAAAAATCACATAGAATGCCTGAAAAACACTTACAAGAGTGGCTGGTATGATGCACTCAATAAATGTCAGCCATTATTATTACAAAGAAGAGGAAGGAGATGCCTACAATGCAGGACTTAAGTTCAGAGTTGAAGTGAATGTGACTCTCCTGAGTGAATCTCCGATCTACTCTCTTTCCCTCTCCTCTGGATGGTTTCAAGCTTCCCTTAGTACTTTCAAGTCCCTATTCCTGTCTGAGCCCACACCAGTGTCCCACCCCTCAGCAGACAACCTTGCTGGGAACAAAAATCAAACCTATTAGATAAGAATTCCTTAACAAATTTAATTATATCTGCAACCATCATTGCCTTCTCCCTGTTCTTTCCCTCCTGTCATTTCTCTGTAATCGAAATGGTGTTCCCTTCTTTTCAGGGCCAATCTCTCCACCTTCCTCTGAGGACCTCATTTAGCAATCATCCTTTCTCTTGTGCCTTCAATTGCACCCTCTCTTCTGGCTCTCTACACATCAGATGACCCACGCTTAAGAGTCTTCCATTCCAGGAAAAACTGTCTTCAGTCTCTGCTACCTCCCCCTCAAGCTGCCACCATCTTTCTTCCTTCCTTCCCTGCCAAACTACTCACAGTGAGTACAGTCTCCTCATACTCACTTCCCATCCACTCCTCAACCCACCTGGCCTCCGTCCCTCCCACTTCAAGGAAGCTGCTCACACTAAAAAAGTATAAGAACACTGGCAATCACAGTCTCCTAACTACCCAATGTCAAGGTGCGTTTTCCAAGCTCATCCTACTTGGTCTCTCTGGAGCAACTGAAGCTGCTGATCCTCTTCCTGGAACTTTTTCCTCTCCTGGCATACCAAACCTCCTCATCTCCTCTGTCACCTTCAGCTTTCGATAAGCATGGTCGGGCTCATCCTTTCCCACAGCTTCAACCACCACTTACACCTATAGGGCCTAGGCACAGACTCTTCTGAACCTCAGATGCACATTTCCACCTGACTGCTAAGTGCCACAGAACCCACAAATTCAACATCACTCACAACACACTCGGTTTCTTCCCCCAGAAAAATGCTCCTCTTCTATATTCCCTGTTTACTAGTGGCACCACCATCCACCAAAATAGAAAACTGAGTCATCCTCAAAAACTCCCTCCCTCTTGTTTTCAATGACTACTCCCTTAGCTAAACTCTGTCTCTACATTCTCTCAGATTCATCTCCTCTTTTCCATCCCCACTGGTCTAATCCTTCATTCAGCTATAAAGCATGCCTCCATTACTACAAGAGTCTCCTGATGTCCCTGATCCAGATTCTCTCGTCAGTCTGCTTCCACAGTTTGCTTGCCAAAATTCAATCATGTCACCTCCCTGCCTAAAAACCTCCAGCAGTTTCCCTGTCCACAAAATTGGAAGTGCTTCTTAGCACACCACTACAGGCCATTAAAAACCTGGCCTCATTATGAATCTGGTCTCATCTATCACCTCTCCTTTAATCCCAAAGTTCTCTTATATTCCAGCCACTTGGATCTATTTACCTTCCCCCTTATGCCTCTGCAAATGTTGTACATGTCACCAGGGCCATTTTCTCTCCTCATTTTCAAGGCTCAGTTCAATTATCACCTCTTTCCAGAAGATCCCTAATGTCTCCAGGAAGAACTAGTCATTCCTTCCTCTGGCCTCACATAGCACTTTGGACATACCTCTATTACAATATCACATTTTTATTAAAATATTTGCTCCCTTATCCATCATGAATTCCTCCAGCGAAAAGAGTTTTTATTCATCTCGGTATCCTCAGTACTGAACACCGAAGACCCTAAATGTTGAATAGAAGCCTACACCAACACGAGGCTCTAGGGAAATAAGTTGGCTTGGACAGCTTTCCTAGAGAGTAGCTTTACCCTTCAAGACCACCACCTTGGGGGAAATGAACAGTCATGCACACACATGCCCCAGCAGATATAGCTCTTTCCTCTCCCGATACGAGCCTAAGAAACTAAAAATACAGGAACAGCTCCAGATCCTGTGGAATTTGGTAGTGACACCAAATCTCAATCTCATTTGTTTCCAGGGTAAAAGGACCACAAAGAGACGTCTAGACATCAGAGTGCAGATATGGGACAACATATCTGGCTTTGGGGGTGAGAGGGGCCCAGTCTCTGCTTCAGTGAATCCCTCAGGGGATATGTAGGAACATGGGGAGGTCAAACTGGACACCCAATCTGCCCATCCACTAGGTGCTACTCATACTAGCCTGAACTTCAAAAGAAAAATTATATAAAGCCAAATCCAGAGTCTCCAAGATGGCAAGGACCCTGAGATAGGTCTGAATCAGTCAACTGCTCAACACTTACCTCCTAAGGGGACACTGAAGATGCAGTTCTCACTTCCCTTGATAAGGGACAGATAGATAACCCAAGTCCCCACAGCACCACCAAGTAGCCATCAACAGGCCAGGCAACTTAGGAATCCTCTATTATGATCCCTCCCAACCTGTACCTCCAGGCAGCCACTAGCAATGATAGAGATAGCAGAGTAAAACCTAGAGTGGCAGCTGTCAATGGTATTATGATTCTCCCCACTATTCTGACTCCTCCCTAACAAGTTCTTTGTACCCACATGTCAGTCTGGCTCAACTTATCAATTCTTCTCCACATTGCCTCCTGCATCCTCCATTTTCCTCCATTACCACTGTTACCACTTTGGACTGCCATTTAATAGCTTTGAGAATTTAAGGCAAATCATTTACCATCTTTGGTGCCTCATCCATAAAACAGGGTAACAGCTGCTCTGTCTACCTCACAGGATTATTAAATCAAATGAGATCATGCCAGTGAAAGGTCCTGCCTGTAATGTGTAAAATGTTATACATAAATATAAGACATTACTATTATCATCAATCTAAGGCCTCTATTATTGATATGGGCAGCACATCTGGCTCCCTGCCTCCATTCGTCCCCATTTCCAACCACATTATACACCACAGTAAGACATTTATATGCTCTAAAATATTTCTTTGCCCGTATACACACCTGCCCAAAATATTTCACTGATACACCATTTCTTACTTTAAACAATCCTAGACCTGACATATGCAGTGTCACCTCTGCATCACTGTCAGCTGCTTAGGATGCTTTCCCTAGTCCTGCAAACCCCACCCATCCTTCAAAGTCCAACTGCAGCCCCACTACACTCCATGAAGAGAGACTAAATTTAAAAGCGAGAGATCTAAAACAATTTCATGAAAGAATTAAGGACTATTCAGTTTGGAGAAAACTTGGTAGGAACATTTGCCATCTAATACTTTAAGAGTCACCCTTTTAAAGAGGGATTACACTTTCTTTTCTCTATGACTCTAAAAGGTAATCTAGGACCACCAGGATGGAAATTGCAGAGATGTTTTCAACATGAAATATTTTCCTCTTGAGCTATCCCAAGATGAAATGGGATGCCTTATATATTGTAAATTCCCTATTATTAGAAATATTCAAGCCCAAACTGGCCATTTGGCAAGGATATTTTAGATGGAATTCAACTATCACAAGAGTTAACTGGACTAGAAATTAGATCTGAAAGGAACCATGGGCCACCAGCATCACGTAGAACTTGTTAGAACCAACCAGAACAAGTATTTTAACAAGATCCCCAGCGGTATGCACCATTAAAGTTTGAAAAGCACTGACCTACACTGCCCCTTCCAAACCTTTCATTGCAAGTCTGGAATTGTATTTCCCGAATTGTTTCAGAAGTTAAACAGAGGCAGCACCCAAGAAAAACTGTTTTTCCCACTCAAATTTGGGAAACTCTTCATACAATACTTCCAGTGGGAAATTCATGCTAAATATCATGAGCATACTGAAGGCTCTCAAATAGTCTGTATTAGAAAAAACTTTAACAATGAAGTTTTTCTAAACATACTTGAGCACAAAATGTCTTTTTTTTTTTTAAGTTATCTCTTTTAACCCGATGACTCGGCTTTGGCAGTACACTAGGTAAAGGTCAATCTAGACCTCGTAGTTCCTTGACTCTCAATACCGTAAGCATACTGGATTAGTAAGCGGTCAACATGGGCTTGCTGCTCTGGTCACTGCAATAAATGCGATAAGTTCCTAAATCACTGCCTCTTTAAAAACGGGGGAGTTCCTCATCTGTGTGATTTAGTTATGGTTCTGCCTGAAGACAAGAGAGATGCGCAAGATGATGACTTCTCAAGGGCTATCCTGACAGTTAAGGCCGACCCCTGGAGTGGGAGACACAGCCATACCAAATCCATATTCCCGACCCCCAAGTTCGAGTCCTTTATGTTGGTGGCGGTGGTGGTTTTTTTCATCTGACACAAACTTCTCAACCCTGTGCCCACATTAAACCTGTGGCTCGGAATGGGTTCAGGGGTGCCTCGGAGGCTCCCAAGAAAGGAGGCGGACCCTTGCAGTTCCAGAGGAATTCGGAGGTGCAGTCACTCTGCCAGAACACCGCCAGACAGAAGAGCTCAGGTGCGTCCGACAGGCCCAGCCGTAGGTGGGCGCCCACCCGCGCCGCGGCCCACCCGTGCCGCGCCCCGCTCCGCACACCGGGCTCCGTGCCCCAGGCCAGCACTGAGCCCTCCGTTCAACGCTGGGAACCTCGCGAACTCGCGGGGGTCGGCAGCGGAGACGGTTTGCAGGATCGCCGCCTCAGTACCTGTCTTGACAGGGGCTCCACGCCGGGCTCCACGCCGGACTCCGGCCCCACCGGCGACCGACGCCCTAGTCCCTACCGCGTGGGTTGCCCGAAGATCCGCCCGACCCCTCTTGCCGTCCCCAGACCCTCTAGCCCCTGAAACCCAGAGGCACTCGGGCTTCAGCAAACAGGCCACTCTTTACGGAAGACAGGCCTAAATTAAAAGCTGCGCGCTGAGCGCGGCCGAGATGACATCGATCAGGCACAAAGCTGGACACCTGGAGCTAAATGCGCGTGCGTACTAAGTCAGGAGGCCAGTTAGGCCCACAGGAGAGAGGTAAGCACTGAGTAACCAGCGCCCTCTTCCGGCGTAGCGGAGACAGTGCAGTGGAGGACTCGTTAACAGCTTTTGAGCGCTGAACTGCTAATTAAAACAAGATAAATCGTATCTCGTCAGTTACCTTAGGGAAAAAATTAATTTTGTTGCTGTTCGATGTCATCTATCATTTGGGGATACAGGTATCTCATGCTCTTATTATGGTGATAAAATAGCCCAAATTTACATGCGACATTTTGGGTTTTCTTATTTTAAAAAAGAAAACATTAAAAACTACAAACCCCTTGATCCAATGTACCCACTTCTAATAATGTAGCCAAAGAAATGAAAGAAATAAGAGAGCAATTATTCAAAGATACTTGTACAGCATCTTACTACGCAGATGGACAGTGACTGTGAAGGGGTATGTGGGGGGGACTTGGTGAAGGGGGGAACCTAGTAAACATAATGTTCTTTCTGTAATTGTAGATTTATGATACCAAAATAAAAAAAATCAAAATTAAAAAAAAAAGATACTTGTACAAGGATGTTGGGAGAGTCAGGATTTGACAGACAATGGGTTCGAATTCTAACTGCAATTTACTTACTGGCTTTGTGAGATCTGGGTTAGTTATTTAATTTCACCATGCCTCTGTTTCCTCATTTGTGAAATGAGAATGTTAGTGATTGGATCTATATTATTAAATTGTTAGGAAGATTGATTGAATATTCTTGGGGGGCGTTTTTTATTTTCCGCGGTTCTTGTCCCAGCTGCAACAAAGAATTAAAGGGCAGAGACAAAGTTGTGAAGCAGAATAAAAGTTTTACTTACAGTCACGTACTTAGAGAAGAAGTGCAGGCGACCTCAGGGAAGAGAGAAACCCTGAAAGGTTTAAGTTTTATTTAAAGAGAGAGAATGTGCGCACTGGGAGAAAGGGGAGTGTGGGCTACCTCAGAGAAGAGGTGTGCTGAAAGATTGGGAAAGTTTTATTTAAGGCTAAGCACTTAGAAAATGCAGGCGACCTCAGAGAGTGGAGCGCTGAAAGGTTTAGAAAAAGTTCTGTTTAAGGCTACACAATTAGAAAGTGCCAGCGACCTGAAAAGGAGCACCCTGAAAGGTTGAGGGTTCCCCCTTTAAAGGATTTTTTTCAGGAATGTGACAAAGGACTAGGGGTGTGGATTTGTTAAGTGGTCTCAGGATGTTTATCTTTGATGAGAGATGTTACATCTCTATTATCAGTCCCCCTGGTAATTTTGCAAATTAGCTTTACATAAGAAATTTCTGATCGGATTCCTCCCCAGGATAGCAGCTTCCCTCTGGTAACATATCTATCAAGACCACCTGCCCTGCCTCAAGGTGGGCTGAGTTATTTGTCTGTTAGCTAAAGAATATGCAAAGAAATCTTACTTCTCAACTTCCTGGGTTTTAAAATACAATCTTATCTTTAAGATGGAACCTTTCCTGTTTTTACTGTGCTGTTTATAACTGGGGTTTTTTTGCTAAATTAATCATGATGCTTCTCTCCTGCCCAGGTTGCAGATTACTTGATTAGGGGCTGGAAGTGGAAAAACAGTATATAGGTTAAGTTAAATAATAAACTGGGCTCAAAAAACTCAAAATAGAAATACCATTTGACCCAGGAATTCCATTCCTAGGAATTTACCGTAAGAATGCAGCAGCCCAGTTTGAAAAAGACATATGCACCTCTATGTTTATCACAGCACTATTTACAATAGCCAAGAAATGGAAGCAACCTAAGTGTCCATCAGTAGATGAATGGATAAAGAAGAGGCAGTACATATACACAATGGAATATTATTCATCCATAAGAAGAAAACAAATCCTACCATTTGCAACAGCATGGATGGAGCTAGAGGATATTATGCTCAGTGAAATAAGCCAGGAGGAGAAAGACAAGTATCAAATGATTTCACTCATCTGTGGAGTATAACAACAAAGAAAAACTGAAGGAATAAAAAGGCAGCAGACTCACAGAACCCAAGAATGGACTAACAGTTACCAAAAGGAAAGGGACTGGGGAGCATGGGTGGGAAGGAAGGGATAAGGGGGAAAATGGGGCATTACGATTAGCACACATAATATAGGGGTGGGGGACAAGGGGAAGGCAGTATATACAGAGAAGACAAGTAATGATTCTATAGCATCTTACTACATTGATGGACAGTGACTGTAATGGGGTATGTGGGGGGGACTTGATAAT